CGTTTGGGTTGGTGGCGAGCCTATCGAATACGCTGACAGGTTCGTCCTGAGTTGGTGTTGACAGCGGAGAAGGTGATGGTCTGAATGGACGTGCTGCTGAAGGATGTAGATGGTGTGGAGATGGTCGTCGCTGGGAGATAGTATTACCTGATGGCGGCAGAGGAAAGAGTCGATCGTAAGCTGACTGGGAGAGCACACTCGAGCGGTCGTCGTCGGAGTCTGTGTAGATCGAGCTATGCAGATATGCTGTACCTCGCTCGCCGAATTGTGGTGTTCCGAGTCGGTAATGTGGTATTCGCAAGTTGAGCAGGCCATCAGTGACGTCTAGTGAACTCCTCGACCTTTCAGGCTCCTCTACGGTCTTCTCTTTGATGGTTGACACTGATCGCGATCGCGGTCTCCATCTCCAAGCAGTATTCGCGAGACTCAGCGGTGGTACCGCCCGTGGCGTCCATGGTCCTGATGACTCGCCGTGCGCAGTATCTGGTGGTGTTGCCGGAAAGACATTGACCTGATGTGGCAGGCGACTGGGCGCGAGATATAGTGTCCCACCAGAACCAACATTACCCACGAAATGTCTTGTCTCGTCGTCCACGCTCTTCCTCCCGAGCTGAGAGCTCGAGCGTTCACTGTCTGCACGCGTCTTAGACGACGTCGGTGGTGTCATCGACTGCGCAGCCAATGCTGACGACTTGTTGCGGATGTGCCGAGCTGGAGAATGGGCAGATGCGCTCATGTTGCGCATGTGCTTACGGGCAACAGCGCTTCGTTCCATAGTGCGGCCATACAGGCGCGAATCTTGATCGATGGCGCATAGAAGCTGATCGTAGAGTTCGAGGTGTCGCGTAAAGGCCGGCGCCTACCGACAGGGATCCTGGTCATTTATGTCATCTGCGAGTCAAGTTGTCAGAGCTGCTGTTGGAGGCGCAGGATCCCTGGCTGGGCCGGTGCCTAGGACGAGGATCAAGGATTGAGGTGTTGTGCATGTCGTGGTAAGACATAGCAAGTACCTTCGTCCCCACGGGCAGCTTCTACCTATGTAAATCTTGAGACTTCTGCTCACAAATGTACAACATTGTATCGACCAATCTTATCGAGCCGGAGAAACTGCGCCATACTCCAATAGCATCATTTCATTCTTCAGGCTTGACTATAAGCACATCGTAGAGTTGTACTGGTGACTCCATTCGATGTGGGTGTGACATCACCTGGAAAGCTTCGTACTGCATTACGATAGCCATGTACTCAGCCACGAGGTTTCGAACAAGTCAAGGCTGACTACTGAAGGTAAAGTATTGAATGAGATTCACAAGAACCAGCATCACAATTCAATGCTATGTCAGACACGTTGTGTCCAGTATTCTGCACTGCAAAGCTGCCGATTGAGGTACGTAGTGTGCATAGAGTGTTCGCATGTACATCTGACTGATCCACGAAGCTCATCGATGAATTCTTCAAGGAAGCCAACAAAGCAACCCAAGACAATTGTTATGAGGCACCAGTAGGATATTTGGTGGCTTCAACAACGTTACCTGAAGTTATCGAGGAGAGTGCGACGATATGTCCAATCGACGAGCAAGCGCTACAAGATAATCCATTCCTGAATAAGACAACGACAGAAGTCATCGATTGGGCTCAGTCTAATCTCCACCCCGAGTGTGGCCTCCTCAATGACCAGGTAGTCATACTCGACGACCGCACCGCACAAGATAAGACTTGTCTCCTTCTATCGTTGAAGGAGCACTACATAATCGAATTTGCGAATCGCAAAACCGTACCAGGACCGGAGGAAGCACCAGATGCCTGGATTGTGATACGTTCAGATTTCCAATCGTCCATTGTCACCATCATGACCAAGGCGACTGGTGTCGGTGGCGATGACCATTTTGAGCCACTTGGACGAGAGGGACACGATGGTGTCTTACGCATTCGCGAGACTCACGCCAAAGATGGCTGAAGCACATCTGCCACCGTCTGCGTAACGGCTCAAAAGTGACCAAAGGCTGATTGCCATCTGGACTACGGCTCAAAAGTGACCAAAGGCTGACTGCCATCTGGACTATCCAAGATGGAGAAGAGTGAGAGGGAAGCCATGTGGTGAAGAGCAAACGATGAAAGATGTATCATGAGAAAACTTGCACATCTGACCGCTCCGTGTGCAGCAGGCAGATCTGATTTTTTCCCAGCGCATTCACTAGACAGGATAGCATCGGAAGCATAGAGTTGATACTCACGTCCAGGAAGATGCTCTCGTGATCGATGAGTACGGCACTTCGCAGTCGTTTCCCTTGCCGCTAGTACAACTAAGTGAGACATCACATTCTGTCGTAGGAATCGTGGAATGGATTGTTTCGGACGCCAGTGCTAGGGGGTGCAGAGCAGGATTGTGGTCATGATATAAGTGCCAGGCAATCGCCGCCGTGTCGTGGGTCTTGTGGCGTTGCTATACTCCTGATAGAGCGCACGTCTGGCTGAAAGACGCAGGCCGCACTGCTGCCGCCAAGGGCCATTCTTTCGTGTTTGCGAGCGCTCGCACCGTCAAGCCGTGGACGTGAACTCCGTAACACTGAGGCTTTGGTCGAGCCCGAGCATGATCGAAGGCTGTGAGGGCGTCTCGATTCCTCAATCGGCAAGCCCGTAGAACGATCAGTGCAGTAGGACGAGTCTGCAAGACAATCACTCAAGTGTAAGATACCACGGTATAGATCCTGTGGTTGTTGGTCGAAAAACTGCGCAGCTTGACCTTCTCTGTATTCTTGACTTCTCTGGCGTCACTGTCACCCGATTCGATGTGCTCGTCCGCGGATTCCGAGACATTGAAGATGCAATTACCATCCAGCATGGGCAGGAAGGTGACAGAGGCAGTGACCTGCCGGAAGAGTGGAGGGAATCTCTTGCTGGACCTCTTGCTCGATCTTGTCAGGTCCAGTCGTGCTTGTTTCGGCGGGCGCAGAGCTCTTTACCAATAACCGAGAGCTATCTCGTCACCATGCCAGATATGCTATGCTCGTGTCTCTTGGAATCCAAGGCTTTTACTTTCATAGCCTTGAGCGTTGGATGTCGCTTGTAGAAGCCCTGCAGCCAGTTTTCGCCAGGTGGCTGCAAGTCGTCGCCTTTTGAGAAGCTCTGGATCGCGGAGTCACGATGGCGACGAACGATGAGTGCGAGTGAGCGCAAGAGCTTGACTGGCACAGGCCAACCTTTGCTTGACACACGAAGTGCGTAGTCGACGATGGATTTCTCTCTTGTGGTGTGAGATACTGCTGACTCACGGCTTTGTCCTTGATCGTGCGACGACAGGGACCAGGTGCTTCGTCGACCAAGTTGTCTGGCTGAAGTCCAGCTCGCGAACACGCAGGGAGTAGCTGCACGCAGGGACGTAGGTTACTCGAACCATCCTTAGGTCTGCGCCAGGTGAATATTGTGTGCAGTGAGAGGTGCAGAGGCGTTCAGGCTAAGCAAGCATTCAGACTCAGCTGCAGCTTGACCGTTGTCATGCAGCCTCTTCCTGGTCTCATGGCGTGTACTGAGGGCGCTGTTGAAGGAGGAAAGTCGCATTGCCCACTGGAGTGAAGCTCATGGACTTGCAGGTGCTGTCAGAGACGATACAGTGGAATGCTTGAAATGAAAGAGCTTTGATATGCACTCGGACATACAAGGTTCCGGGGTGGGCTGGGGTTTCACACAAGTCTCGTCAAGGCGGGTGGTTTTGATTTTCGATAATTATTATAGTTGATTATTGATCGTCTTTCCACGTGTGTACTAAGGCTCCGAACACAGATCTCGGACATCTACAGCGTCGGCCAGCTCTCTTCGATAGGCTGAAGATCACCTTTGCCATAGAAGGTCTCGACGATCTTTCCTTGCTCCGATAGCATCTTCCTATCGGTCTGAGTACCTAGCTTAGCCAGACCTCGCCAGCGTTCAAGGTCGGCAGCATTCCTCTTGTCGCCATGAGCATCCTTCGCTTGCTCCCAGTGTCCCTTTGAGAAAGCGATCAATGTAGTCACAATGCCTTTGGGAAAGTCATAGACTGCGCTGCAGATCGTGCCAGTCTCCTCGAGCCAGTTGCACTGCCATAGCTCGCCAGGTCTTATACATTGGTATCTGCAGTATCGTCAGTAGTGTGTTGACGGCGTGGTGCAACATACGTTGCAGTCTGATAGTTGTATCGGCCAGCCATTGGACCTCCATGAATAGCATAGACGATGCGATTCTCCGAATAGAACCACATTTCATATCGCCATTTCTCGGGCTTGCCATTCTCGTCTTGTGCATCGTAGTCATATACAACGTGAAGATCTTTCAGATCACGCTCAAAGTCGGTCTTCTCTGCCATTGTTGCTATGTGTGGCTACTGAGTAGGGTTCTGCAAGCCATATTTATTCTGGGTCGCAGCGATGATGCAACCGTCTGCTTTTGACAACGTCACGCCCTGACGCACTCTAGCAGGAAGAAGTTTTGCTCTCGGCTTGCAATATCGGATGTTGGATCTGTAGACATAAATGTTTTGTCCCGTGCGAGACTGCTCCGCGTGAGTCCAGCCTGGTTTTGATTTTTCTGATGCAGGATCACAATAATAACTGTGCTGCGCTTCTTATCGTGACTGTTTTGGCTTGCGGACGGGCCAGGCGTGATGGAAATAGGCCTCAGAACCAATCGTATGGTTGTGTAGATGTGATTTTGTAGGTTCAAGAGATCAGACGAAACTATGTGTTTGCCCACCAGGCGATACATCAGCCAGTATAGTGACTGAGCTCAATCTGAGCACACCGATCTGGAGTATGCAGTGGCCACAATGCTGCCGGGGTCTCAATGAGCCGGAATTCGATTGTAATGTCGTCGTTGTCTCTTGTTCCCGCATACGGGATTTTGCTCTCAGCATGCACTCCTGCGCTCATAACATGTTCCTCACCGTGCCAGGTCATCGTGTCGCCATGGCCAAGAGTGCAGAAAGCGGTTAGAGTCATATAACATGTGAGATGAGCTCACTTCATGAAGGGGCTGTGGTTTAGTGGTATAACGTCTTCTTAGCATCTCTAGCACCTCCTGAAGGTGCTACAGTGTCTGGAGAAGGTCCGGCGTTCGATTCGCCGCTGCTCCAATTGTTTTTGCACTTCGTAGTGGTTGAGGAACCTTTGTAGAAACTTTTGGGGTCGTTGTAAGGTGTTTCGAAGTATCTCGACCGAATTCGGAATTTTTGCTCGAGGGGCAGCGATGACCATATCTCCAGGTGTACATCAGTACGACAATGATGAGCGCTTCCTGTTGCACTAGTCCGCTAAGTTGTAGGGCGAGAATTGATGATGTTGCTGTCGAAAAGGAGCCGCATGTGAAATTTCCGAGACCGGATGACACCGACGCGGAAGCGAGCTTTTTGGCGCCGACAACACCTAGAGCTATTTGTCTGATTTATTCTCCCTCTCGTGCAGATGAAACAACAACGATGGCTGCTCTTGCGTGTCGAGTTAGCACACTCGAACACCGGACGAATTCTGCCGAGCAACGGTGACGTTGCAGGAGTATCTTGAGAATTGAGCTGCTGCTGGACAGCAGCACCATCTACACGCCCAGGGAAGCTTGACAAGCAATCACAACTCAATTGGTCCTCATCCTCGTAGATTGACACACTGTTGTTGTGTTGTGTATGGTGTGAGGTTCATAGTCACGTGACTTCTGCTGTCATCTTGGATAAATCGACCCACAACGATGGCAGTTGCATCTTGCTGCTAGTAGATCATCACGTCGTCGGATGTGATCGAGACTTGACGGTATTGAGTCTGTAGAATCGAAACTCGCAAGGTGATGGTCAGATAGAGAACAGATGACGAAAGATGCGGAAAGACATGAACAATCAGAGTCAAGATGAGACAACATACCAAACAAAGAACGATCGTTTACTTACCTGGAACAACGACGTACAGCGACACTATCGGAGGCCATGACAAGATGTGATGAGGAGGTGAGGTCCCTATAGACTTCGCGTGCCTTCCTCACTCATCAACAACACACCGGACGCGAGAACACTGACATACAACCACAACGCAATGTCAGACCACTTCATTTCCCTCGATGCAAACATGACAAAGGTCGAACCTCCATGGTTCACTGATTGTCCTACCTAACCAGCGAGCCATACCCGTTATCGTCGTGCGATCAAAGTCACCGAATAACAACACAGCTTCGATCGATGCCGCTGTCAGCAGTCTCACCCATACAGTATGAGCCATCAGAGGACAAAGCACACGCTCAGTTTGTCGCTCCTGTACACTCGCAGCCTCCATGCAAAGGAGAATCACCACAACTTCGATGTGCTCTATGCTGTGCTCTGAGAACACCTATCGGACACTGGGAGCAGGCGACTCAAGGACTGAGAGGAGCTGTATACACAAGTACACAATGCTTTTAGCACAATCACAAGCGATGGTTGAACACGAAGAGCGGTCGTCTCACATCAGACCTCCTCGTCCAGCAGCTGCTCATCCGCATCATGAGTTGTCCTCACCTGTAACTTCACCACGCATTTCGAGTAGACTCGCAAGCCAAGCACACAGAGTGCATTCCAAGGATCATTGTCGAAGATGTCGATGTCTTTCCCAGCCTCCGAGCTTACTGAGCTGCTGTCTGGGTTCAAATGACCGTCACTACCTGGATTAGCATTGAACGGGAACGGCGAGGAGCGGCTTACATCTTAGGATCCCAGTCAAAGTCGTTGTCATCTAACTCTTCGAGTTCTTCTGCTGGGCTTTCCCAGGCCTCTTCCTCGTCTGAAACAATTCCAACCTTGTCAACTGCCTCATGGAGTTCTTCGAGAGCATTCAAGACAGGGTCTGCCTTGCTCGTAGATCCATCAGTGGTCGATGTCTCTTTGGCGTCATCCTTCGCCTCTGCAGTGGTCGATATTCCCGTCGTTTCGTCCTTCGTCTCTTCAGTAGTCGATGTCTCTTTTACTGCACTCTTTACCGCATCAGTAATCGATCCTTCTTTCGCTTCATCTTTCACCTCGTCTGTCGTCTTCGCTACGACGACCTCGCTGGCAGATGATGCTTCAGGCTTCTCTCCTTCCTTGGAAGCCGTCCTATCATTCAATTCAGGCATCTTCTCCTCTTCCTCGAAAGAAGTCTTAGCATTCGCTTCAAGCTTCTTCTCTGCTTCCTTGGCAGCAGTCTGTCCGTCCTGCGCGTCAGTGGCTGGCTCATCCTTCTCGACCTTGGCATCTATGCTTATGGACTGTGCCCCATGAGCGGCATCAGCATCGATCTCAGACTTCTTCTCGGTCTCGGCAACGGCGTTCGCAGACTCTGAATTGGAAGGAGAAGCACTAGCGGTAGCGTCTGCATTACTTTGCTGCTTGCTGGTAGACGGCGACTCGAATTTTGAACCACCCTCCACATCATCCTTCCCAGCTTCGGTCTCGGTACTGTCAGTACTGGGTGTTAACTTGCTGTCTTTGGTAGTGGTGCTATCCTTCGAAGCGTTCTTTAGCTTCTGCTCTCTACGCTTGGCAGCAGCCTTCTCAAAGGCCGCCTTTCGCTTCGCATTTGTCGCATCCACAACTCGCTGCCTTCGTTGTCGAATCCTCTCACGGTCAAGCTTTGTGTATCTGCGATTCTCCTCCAGGTTTTTGATGGATTGCTGGTAGCTCTCGTCTCGCTGTTGCTTGCGAATCCTCTTCTCCATGGCACGCAGGTTACCTTTGGTTTGTGCATAGTCGTAAGATCGACCAACTTGCAGGAGCTTGTCTTTCCGATCATGAGCGCACGTCAGGATCATCTCTTGAGGAGTACTATTGTCGAATCGGGCTGCTGACACTTTGAAGATGATGTAGTACTTGCCAGGCTCGATATCGTCAATCTCGGCCGACACCGAACGTTGGGAAGTCCAGTCAGCACTCGAATTGTGCAGACTACGCATCAGATACTTCTGACCGAATTCCTTCTCTTTGTACAGCCGGAAGTGCAGCAAGAAGCGATAACGACCTTGCAGACCGTTGAAGTAGCGATCGTCTGGCTGCTGCAGGACGACCACGATTGGACCTTTCTCAGACACGGTGAGCTCGAATCTGGTGTCAAGATAGTCGACAGTCCATGGGACGTCAACACAGGTCCAAAGTTGTGCGACTTGCAGTCGCTTATCGAAGAGCCTCACACGACTGATGCTTGAAAAGTGCTTGAAGAAGTCCTTGTACGACATCCAGAAGACACCATCGTTGCCGAAGGTGTGATTTAACTTGCGCATCATCTCAGGAGTCCACTCTTTCGATCCATCACTCCAGTCTCCATCTGTATACTCGCCTTCTCCCCACGGGTTGCGGACCTTGAGGAGCTTGAGATCGCCCTCAGACCAAGCCTCCAGCACAGTGTAAGCATGATACGGCACAATGCCCTTGGACCATGCTGACTTTCCACCACCACCGAAGAGATACTTCTTGTTGACCTGGCTCATCTGCTCATCCCAAAATCGATCTTTGTCCATTACGTCTTCTGGGCTGAAGCTTGTAGCAACACCACCGGTTAGATCCTCGATACCCTCACTGGCATAGCCACCCTCAATGGTGGCATAATCGCCGTGAGCTTTGGCATAGGCCTTCTCGATCAAAGGTACCCAGGTCTCGTCAGACTTGCAGCGGGAGAAGTAGAGTGCTTCACTGCCCTTCTGCAGCTGTTCTTTGAGTTTGTCCTTGTCGTGTCGAAGTGGTATGCCTGGCTCACCGGGACCATCTGCAAGCACAATGGTGAGGTCGTTGTCGTCTCCAACAGAGATGAACAGTCGGTCATCGATAACTTCGTAGATCCATTCGCCGTCTATGCTCGTTAGAGGACTTCCCACGTATCAGAGCACCTACTCACCCCTGTAGAAGACGAAGCCATAGACGCCAACCTTCTCATCTCTTGCAACGCACAATCGCTCGATGAGCTCTCGCTTTGCGGACACGGCGACTAATGCTGCAATGAACCAACAGTCTCCAACCTGGCCTTGTCGAATATCGCAGCCGTTGGCGGTCTCGCTAAAGAAGACAGGCTTCTCAAAGATATCCTCCACACGTTTGATCCATGGTGGACTCCCAATGGCGGCCACGACGTCAGGCGCATCACCTCTGAGGTTGTTAAGACAGTATGCATTGCGCTCGAGGTCGAAAAGAGCATCCTTATACTTTTGATTCAACCTCTTGCACTCTTCGACAATAGCCGCGACCTTCTCACGACATTCGGCGGCGGCTTCTTCCCACGAATACGCAATGTTCTCACGGTTACGCAAGCCTTGTGGTTGCTCCTCTTCAATCAGCTTCTTCTCTTGCTGGAGTGCTTTCCCTGGCTTCGACGCGACTTTTGCCCGGGTCGTCTGCACAGCTAGGAACTTATCCCAAGCTGGGTAGAAGTGGTCAGATCTGGGCTTTGGCGGTTCCGGAGGCGGCGAAGGCGGTCGAGGAGGCTCGTCTTGAATGATGCGTACAGTAAACGGTTGCGAACTTGGAGGCTCGTCGAGTGGCAGGTCGAGGCCTGCGAATCCATAGCGATATCTGTTCTTAGGCATGTCGATGTTAGCGAGCTAAAGAGAGTTGGCTGAGCAATCGACAAGGCTGAGTGTTCACGTCATAACAATACTACCTGGACGTGTCTGATCGGCTGAAATACAAGCAGTCGAGACGATGGTGCACAACGATCCTAGTGCTTGCAGCTTGCATGAGCTGTATTCTCGGCTAGCATGAGTCTCGAGACCGGTCAAGACTTGTGTGGCAGAGGATCGTGCTTGACGCATCTTGATTCGTTGTCGAACGAGGAAAACCGGCAGTGTTGCATGAGGCTGAAGGATGCAGTGGGAGGCCTTGCACTTTAGGGGTCAGAAGTTGTGGGACAAACGCCGTAGGCGCTGGAGAACTCCATTAGATAGGTGGTATCACACTGAATAGCTCCCTTTCGAGATCATCAATCTACCGAGCTCACTGTGACGATTCCCACCCCTTGATTGACAACGTTGTGCAGGCTGGACATATGTGATTCGTCTGAACCCAGTGACTCAGAGCACATGCTATGGCTCACCATCGTTTTGGAGCTGCGGAGAACCACACAGCTCATCCAGAATCATAGCACCGGACGAGAGATC